TGAGAGAGAGAAAGGAAAAGAGATTCGAGACGTACGTTCTAAAACTTCTAAAGCTTAAATCACCTAACAATATCCCAGAAGTACGAGTCACTGGCTACTATGCGGTTAATCCAAAATACCTTCAATGGATCACGTTACGAGATGCACGGAGGAACTCGCCGATGAATTTACTTCCAGAACAAAAATCGATTCAGTGGCTTATACATTATTATTACTATTACTATTACTATTACTATTGCTATTACTATCATTATCATTATTGTTATTAATCAGCATTTTCTGGGTGCATAAACACAGACAGAGACAGGCACGCAGGCAGACAAAGAAAGACAGACAGAGACAGGCACGCAAGCAGACAGGTAAACAAAGACAGACAGACAGACAGACAGGCAGACAGACAGGCAAGGAGGCACTCAGACAGACAGATAGACAAGGAGTCAGACAAGCAGACAGACACAAACAGACAAATAGAGAAACAGACAGATAGACAAATAGACAGGCAAGCAGGCACGCAGGTAGACAGACAGGCAGGCAGACAGACAGGCACACAGATAGACAGACACACGCTGTACCTCCGTCGCGAACGCCAGGCGCTTCCTCTCCCCCCCCGACAGAGACTTGTCCTGCCCTGGCGTGCCGATGCGCGTGTTCTGCGTCTTCAGGAGGCCGAGTTCCTTCATGAGCTCCAGCACGCGCGCCATCCGCTGCTTCTGCGTCCTTCGTCGGTCCATCCTCAGCCGGGCCTTGGGGTCAAAAGAGGTGAAAATTGGTAAAAAAAAAAAAAAAAAAAAAAAAAAAAAAGGCGAAGGTCAGGTTAAAAAAAAGGTGAACGTGGGTAAAAAAGACGAAAATGGGTAAAAAAAAAAAAAAAAAGACGAAAATGGGAAAAAAAAAAGACGAAAATGGGTAAAAAAAAAAGACGAAAATGGGTAAAAAAAAGACGAAAATGGGTAAAAAAAGACGAAAGTGGGTAAAAAAAGACGAAAATGGGTCAAAATGAGGCGAAAGTAGGTCAAAAAATGCTTAGGACAGGTCATAAGAGAGAGAGGTCAGTCAAGCATGCGAGTTCTTTTATTACATAAACGATATTTACTCTAAGCTTATCGTCATAGAAATAACAAAAAATACTTGAATGAATAAATGTAAAAAAAAAAAAAACAGTATACGTTCAGATTGATAATAAACAAACGCTTGATTGACTTTTAAAATCAAGTACAAAAAATTATCCAAGCTAATCCGAGTGACATTTATGACAAGAGAAATCTATGAAATTATATTACAAAAATTGATATATTTTTATTATGCTTTTATAGATATTAGTGGCTCACATACAAGCAGCCATGAATCGAAGGTTGAATACCTCAGGGTCACTCAAAATCAAAACACAGACATAAACACTCACACGCTCGCTCACTCACTCACTCACTCACTCACTCACTCACTCACTCACTCACTCACTCACTCACTCACTCACCCTCACTCTTTCGCTCTCTTATTCCTTTACTCATTTACTTTTACTCGTTCACTCTCACTCTCACTCTTTCACTTTTATTATTTTACTCTTTCACTTTTCTCTTTCACTCTTTCACTAAATCTTTACTCTCACTTTTCTCTTTCACTCTTTCGCTTTCACTCTTTCACTAAATCTTTACTCTTTCACTCTCTTTTTCTCTCTCTTTCACTCTTTCCCTCTCTCTCACCCTTTCACTTTTTTAATCTCTCTCTCTTTTCCTTTATTAAATTCTCTCAATCTTTCTTTCTTTCTTTCACTGTTTCACTCTCACTCACTCTTTCTCTCTCTTTTCCACTCCTTCACTCTCACCCTCTCCCTCCACCCTCACCCCCTCCCTTTCCCTTTTCCACCTCCCCTTCCCCCCCCCCTCCTCCCCTCCCCTCATCCAACGCACCATAAACATCAGGTGCTCCTTCACGGTGAGCGAGCCGACGAAGAGATCATCCTGGTGAACGTATCCTGCCAGGGACGCCATCGCCCGGTTGGCCCTCCGGCTGTTCACGAGGATTTCCCCGTCGACGATGACCCCTCCAGGCGTGCGGTGAGCGAGGGCGTTCATCAGCGTGGATTTCCCGGCGCCACTGGAAGAGAGGGAAGAGAGGGGCGTGTGAGTGGTAGGGTGTGAGAAGGGGGGGGGGGCGTGTGAGTGGTAGGGTGTGAGAAGGGGGGGAGGGAGGGATTGGGAAAGGGGTGGGGGAGAAATTGGAAGGGGGAGGGAGATGGAAGAGAAAAGATGGAAGTGGATGGGATGGGGAGAGGGAAGGAGGGAAGAGGGTGGGGAAAAAGGGAGGGAGGGGAAAAGGAAGGAAGGGGAAAAGGAAGAGAGGAGAAGAGGAAGGGAGGGGAAAAGGAGGGCGGGTAAGAGGAAGGGATGAGAAGAAAAATAGATGAGAAGGGGAAGAGATGGGAAGAAGGAGGAATGAAAATAGGAAGGGACGGAAAGAGGAGGAAATGGAATGAAAAACTGACAGAAAATTGATCGAACAAAGGGACGGGATGTGTAGCAGGGAATGCGAAGAAAGAGAAAGAAACGCAAAGAAGAGGTAATGGGATGGAAATTGATAAAATTGATGGAATGTTCAGAAATGTTCACCGTCGACGATGAGGGCGAGGGCGTTCATATAAGGACGGATTTCCCGATGTCACTGGAAAGAGGGAGTGAGTGGTAGGATACGAGAAAGATAGAGGAAGGGGCGGTAAGAGGGAGAAATAGCAAGAGGAAGAAATTGGGAAAGGAAGGGAGAAGAGGAAAGGTTGGGGTGGATTTTTTTAAAATGATGAAATGAAAAAAAAAATAAATTGAAGAATCTGAAACAACTACGTTTTAAATTAAATAAAAAAAAAATCATCAAAACGAAACAAAATAAATAAAACAAAAATGAAGTGAAAAGAATGGAAAACTAGCATACACAATGCGCCCAATAGAAAAAAAACGGTTTGATAACCTGGTAGGTAGACGTGCAGATAGACAGGTAAAGAGAGAGGGAAGACGAGAACGAGCGAGCGAGCGAGCGAGTGAGTGAGTGAGTGAGTGAGTGAGTGAGTGAGTGAGTGAGTGAGTGAGTGAGTGAGTGAGTGAGAGTGAGAGAGAGAGAGAGGGAGAGGGAGAGGGAGAGGGAGAGGGAGAGGGAGAGGGAGAGGGAGAGGGAGAGGGAGAGGGAGAGGGAGAGAGAGAGTGAGGGAGAGAGAGAGTGAGTGTGTGTGTGCTAAAATATATGTGTGTATATATTGTCCGTCTGTTTCCATATCTATCTGTTCATCTATCTAGCCATATATCTATCATTCCATCTATCTACCTATATTCCTTCCATCCATCCATCCATCTCTCCATATGAAAAAGTTATCATAAACAACCTAGCATCACACACGATATGACAAAAATGACCAGAAATATAAAAGAAAATTTCGAATACATCTTCGAGAGCGACCGTCGAGTGTCTGCAAGGCGCCCCCCCCCCCTCCCTCCCTCGATCCCTCCCTCCCTCCCTCGATCCCTCCCTCCCTCCCTCGATCCCTCCCTCCCTCCCTCGATCCCTCCCTCCCTCCCTCCCTCGATCCCTCCCTCCCCTCCCTCGCTCCCTCCCTCCCCCGCTCCCTCCCCCGCTCCCTCCCTCCCTCGATCCCTCCCTCGATCCCTCCCTCCCCCCCTCCCTATCAGGTGAGGGGACTAGGTCAGCTGACCAGGTAAGAGAGGAGGTCAAATTACAGGTACGGTAGCGAGAAGGGGAAAGGGTGTGTGTGGGAGGGGGGGGGGGGATTTGGGAAAAGGAGGGAGAGTGTGAAGAGGGTGTGTGGGAGAAAGGGAGAGAAAGCGGGAGGAGGGGAAGGAAGGGGAGTGAAATAGGAGGGTGTGTGGGGGAGGAGGTTGGGGAGGGCGTATGGCAGAAGGGGAAGGAAGTGAGAGAGAGGGAGGAGGGAGGAAGAAGGAAAGGAGGAGGAAGCGATGGGAGGGGGAATATAAAAATCGGAGAAGGGAGAATATAAGAATCAGGGAGGATGGAGAAAGAGGAAAGGAAGCGGAGGATAAAGACGGCGAGGGAAGGAGAGGGAGAGAGAGAAAAGAGACGTAGAGAAGCAAAGGGAAGGGAGAAGGGGAGTGGATGACAAGACACAAGACACCGTAGACGAGTCACGTAAGCTGAAGAAAGACGAATTATACAGAAACCTAAGAAAGAAATGAAAAAAAGAAGATAACTGAACATCCAGAGAGACAAACTTCTTTACGAAAATAAAATCAAGAGTTTTTTTGGTTTTTTTTACAACAGACGGAACTAAAAGCAAATTAAAAAAATTGTTTGGCAGGTAAATGAACAAACAGAAGAACGAGAGAAAGAAGAGGTTATATAAACGACGCGGGCAAAATAGGAACGAGCGGGTATCAGGAAAATAAAACTACTCTATAGCCTTGTCCTGCTCCATTTTGAAAATCTTTTGGTCGTTTCCCTCACATCGAATTAAGATTCGTTGTAATTAGCATATGATCTATTCTTATCCAGAGCAACATTCTGCAATATTGCAAAAGGTTCTTCGGTCGACCTCCGAGGAAAAAAAAATAAAATTGATTAAACCTAAATAAACGTTTTATTAAAATCCATTCGTCTTCTAACTATTTTTAATAAAAATATTGCGCTCGTTGTCCCCATGTCGCTCGCGATTTTCTCTGTTTTTTTCCTCAAGGTGATCTCTACACTTTTTCAAAATTCTCCCATTTTGTTACACGATATTTAAAAAAGTTTTGTATTGAGAAAGAAACAGAGAGAGAAAGAGAGAGATACAAAGAGAGAGAGAGAGAGAGAGAGAGAGAGAGAGAGAGAGAGAGAGAGAGAGAGAGAGAGAGAGAGAGAGAGAGAGAGAGAGAGAGAGAGAGAGATACAGAGAGAGAGAGAGAGAGATACAGAGAGAGAGAGAGAGAGAGAGAGACAGAGAGAGAGAGAGAGAGAGAGAGAGATACAGAGAGAGAGAGAGAGAGAGAGAGATACAGAGAGAG